GAGGGAGCGCCCGCGGCACCGCGACCCTCGAGACTGGAAGGGCCGGGACGCGCGGGCTGAGCAGCGGCCGGGATTGTTGTGGCGGCAGCGCTCCGGGGCCGGCGCGAAGTTTGCGCTTAGCGTGCTTTATTTGGGGAGGGCTGGACAGTGAGGGAGACTTTGGGAGGGTTGGCTGAAGGGCTGGTCGGGGGAGGGGGGACTGTGACCCTGACCCTGAGCGAGTCGCTCTCCAGTCGGTGGAAGCGGGAGCCTGGCTCTGGGCGGCGCGGGAAGCGTCCGGGGAGAGGTGGGCCCGCCGCGCGCCCAGGGTGCGCAGCCGGTCCGCAGACTCGCCGCTGGTTCCGCGCGGAGCCGGGCGCCCCCAGGATGTGACAGGCGCAGCCAGGAGCGGGGGCTCCCCACCTCCCCCTGCCACCCCACCTTGTAAAAATAAGGGCAACTCTGGTTTACTCCCTTTCCTCGTTCTGATTTCTCCTGGAGGATCACTGGTGGGAGCCCAGAATGTGGAAGAAAAGAAACGTAGGCCCCGGGCCACATTAACCTGGCCAGGTGCAAGGTTTGCATCTCCTGGAGCGGAGGGCGCGCTCCCACTGTACCTTCGGGGAAACTGAGGCGCGGAGCAGCGCCGGCCTCTTCACCTGGAGTGAGCACCACTTCCTGGCACCTTCCCAGCCAGAGCTCCAGGGTCCGAGGAGAAACCAGGCATCTCCTTCGTGTTCGGTGCCTGATTTCGTTTCTACCCTCAAGGGGATCCCTGCCGCAGCGGTGACATCTCTGATCCTTCCTCGAGGTCCGGTGTCCAGAGAGACCAGCTGATCCCCGGAGCCTCTGCCCCAGGCATCCAGGGGCCGCAGCCAGGCTACAGAGGACCACAGATGCCCCCTGGGCGCTCCGGCTCAGCCTGGGCTGGGCATCCTGGAGCTGAAGGAAACTTCTCAGACACCGCATGCCCAGTCTGGCTCTAGGGAGGTGAGGGGCCAGGACTCCTCACTCCCGTGGGTGGGCGGGCAGGATGTTGACAAGGAGGACACGGCGCGATGCTGCTGATCAGCCTGGCTCTGAGCTGTGCCCTCCGCCGGGCCTGGTCCCTGGGCCACTCCACACTCATGGTGCAGCCCAGGGCAGGTCCTCCTCCTGTTTGAGGCAAAGCTTGATGGAGGCGCCTCACCGGCAGGGCCTCCCCGACCCCTGACTGCAGGGCTCTCGTGTGACTTCGTCCTAGTTCTCACACTGTATCACCGCATCTCATCGCCCTGAAGACAGCATCTTCCCTCTTCTGAAATCCGAGTTCCTGTGACAGTTGAGGGGGTGCCCAGGTGCTTTGGGCCCTGTACCTGCAGGATGTGACTGTTCCCGTTGCAGGTGTCCCGGCTGGAGAGCGGTGGCCCCTCCCCTCTCTGCACCAACCCTTGCTGGAGAAAGCCAGGAAGCCCCCGGGTTGGGCAGGACCTCGGTGAGGTGCGGGGGACAGCAGCAGGGAGGGGACCCGGCACTCACTGTGGGGTGAGGCCGAGCGGGGCAGGGCGAATCAGGCGGCTCTAACCTCAGAGTCCAGGATACCTCAGCCACTGGTTTCCTGGATAGTTTCCTTTATCAGGAAACTTAGGAGTGATCTGTGATAAAAATCTACGTCTTAATAGGCCCCAGAGAGACCTCTGTGTGAGTATAAGGTAAAACCCCCCGGTGATGGAGGAGCACTGGGTCCCGGCTTCCTCGGCAATGCTCTCTTACATTTTCTTTCTGGGCCGGCCGGTGGCTCAAGCGGTTTGGTGCGCATACTCTGCTTTGGCTGCCTGGGCTTCGCGGGTTCAGATCCCGGGCGCGCACCGAGGCACTGCTTGTCATGCCATGCTGTGGCGGTGTCCCATATAGAGGAAGATAGGCACAGATGTTAGCGCGGGGCCAATCTTCCTCGGCAAAAAAAGAGGAGGATCAGCATTGGATGTTGGCTCAGGGCTGATCTTCCTCACACACACAAAATTTTTTTTTTCTTTCTTAGTGATTCGAGAAACCACGGTGTCTGGCACGAGTGGCATCACAGACCCCGAGATTAATCAGGCACTTACCTGGGCCATTCATTCATTGAAGCAGCAGCTACTGAGTGTGGCAGGGGCTCCCGGCACTGGGACACAGGCCCTCTCGGTCGTTGCCCCAGTGACAGCCCAGTGAGGTAGGTGCCCAACTTCCAATTTGCACATGCTGATAAAGCTCAGAGATGTTAGGCAACTTGCCCAGGGACAGCTATGAGCAGAATTTGCATCTGACTTCAGCTCTGTGGGGCTCCACTGCCCATCACCCAGCAGCCTT